TCCCTACAGAGTGTTGCAGGAGAAATAGGGTCGATCTACCCAGACTAAGGACAGCTATCAATTTCTAAATGAGTTTTGTTGGCCAGAGCCTATCATGATAGGAATGACAGCTAATCAATGTCACTGGAACAGTAGACTCGTCACCAGATTTCACAGCCCCAGCAAAAATCTATGGGAAGATTTTTTGATTTAATATACATTGGGAGATGAATGGTCCCAATTCGACAGGGTTAGGGCAACGTGATGTTTTTTTACCAGCATTTGAAAAGTGGTGCTCTAATTCAAATGAGTAGAATTAAGAAAAAAGACTGAAACACCCCCCCCCAAAAAAAAAGTATTTTTGTTCTTTCTTATTTATTTCTATTGGACTCTCACAAATGTTGGTGACAATCCATCGTGCAGCAGCCATTTTGGAAAACTGGTGACATTTGCATCCCAATTCAGATTTAAGCAGGGCTCTTTTTGTAGCAGGTAGTTCAGCAGTTCAAGACCCAGGTTGCCGCATGACGGAATGAGTGCCTGTCTCTAGTTCCAGCTCCTGCCAACCTAGCAGTTCGAAAGCAAGAAATTGCAAGTAGATAAATAGGTACCACTTCGGTGGGAAGGTAACAGCGTTCCGTGCGCCTTGGTGTTTAGTCATGCCGGCCACATGACCACGGAAACGTCTTCGGACAGCGCTGGCTCTTCGGCTTTGAAACGGAGATGAGCACCGCAACCCTAGAGTCGGATTCGACTGGCTTTCGAGCAAGGGAACCTTTACCTTTTTACTCATTTGCATATTAAGCGACAGACCCCTAATGTAGCCAATCCTCCAAGAGCTTACAGTAGCTCCTATAAAGGAGCTACTGTAAGCTCTTGGAGGATTGGCTACATTAGGGGTGTGTGGCCTAATATGCAAAGGAGTTCCTGCTACAAAAAGAGCCCTGGAAAATCCCCCTCACAGGTCTCTGTCTACATTGTTGCCCCTCTTTTAAAATATGACAGGGTTGATTTTCTTTTTAAAAAATCTTCAACCTCCTCCTAAATGCAGAATGTTATTGTCGAACATCTCTGACAGAGAGAGACACACAAGATTTGTAATAATATACAATAGAATGGGATAGGTATCTATAGTTAAGATTTTAATTAATTTAAATACTGAACGTGCAGATTTTTAGAGGTTATTATATTTTAAATGTAATTCAAATTCCAGTGCTGTGAGTGGTGCAATTTGTATACTGTTTTAAATTGTAATGGCCAATGGCTACACAATAAATTTCACTACTTCTACAATAGAACGGTGAAGGCTTTTCTCCTCCACCTTCAAAAGGCTCTGGCTATTACAGCGAAGCCTCGAAGGGATGATGTAATCCAGAAAGATTCTAATTTAGAACTGGGCTCTTGCCTGAATGAAGATTTCACCCTTTCTGGCTCTAGGGAATGGGGGGGGGGGGGCAACTCTTGTTCTCCGCGTCTGTTCCAACAGATCTCAAAGGAGTTTTATTTTAGCAGATGCCTACATTCCAAACTGTTGACGCGTGTGAGACAAGCACAGGCGTATCTTCAATCATCTGGCTATGTGGTCATCCATGACCTTGTCTTCATAGGTTTTAGACTACTGGCTGGACGACATGTACCTCAACAACCGATTGGCTCTGCCGATCAATTCCAGTCCGGCCATCATCTTTGCTCCGCAACATTTCCAAGATGCGAACGACCGACTGAGGTAAGGTACCTGTGGGGCACATACTAATGAACCATGATCCTTCTATACCAGGGCTTTTTTTTGTAGAAAAAGCCCAGCAGGAACTCATTAGCATAATAGGCCACACCCTACAGCAGAGATCTATTAGCATATTAGGCCCACCCCCTGATCGTGCATCTTATTAGTATATTAGGCCACACCCCCATGCCTTCCCTTGGCTTGCCCGG